TAAATTGAAAGTAATTGTGAAGAAACGTAAAATGAAGATACCATAATTGTAAGGATATAATTACGTGGTCATTAGATTTTAAAGCTGACTTATTCCGAAAATCTAGTTATCATATCAACGATTTTACTGCAAAAAGCGGTCAAATCATAATTTAAGTTTGACCAACTCATAATAAGATTAAGTATCCTTTTAAATATAAAGTTCAATAGAATTAAGTTTTATGTATTTAATTTTAAATTATTAAATGTAATTTGTAACATCCTCAATTATGTTACTTTTGTATGGAAAAAATAGAAATTTTGATACCAAGTTTTTCGCTCAAGTGAGATATGTCTCGCTTAGACGAGATAGAAATTTTCTGGGCCAACTATTCTGGAGCACTCTCACTTAAGCAAGATAAGGTAAAATTGTCTCAACTATCTTCTCATCCAGGGGAGAAGGGATCTCGCTTAGGTGAGAAGTGACCTTGTCCAAGCGAGATGAGCTCGCTCAAGCGAGGAGTTGCAGAAAAATTAGGGAGTTCTCTATACCCATTCTTGTCTAGATGAGAATGTCTTTCGCTCAAGTGAGAATAGCAAAATAATGGATAAAAACTATTGTCTGGTTTTCTTGCTTGAGCGAGCCTATTCTCACTTGAGCGATTTGCTCGCTCAAGTAAGAACGTGTGAATTAAGAGGAGTATTTAAGAGACCTCAATGCTGAAACTTTCATTTTCTTATTAAAACAATTTTTCTTCTCATTTTCTCTCTGTTGTCTCACCTTCTCTTCTCAGAGAAAACTCTCTCGAACCCCGAATCTCTTTTAAATTCGAGCTCAAACGTCTATTCTATTCAGATCCAAGTAAGTTTCTCAAAATTCAGATCTCTAATCTCATTCTTATCTCTTCGTTTTCTCTTAATCTAAAGTTTTATGCTTTGTAGTACTCAAGGAAACTTTAAGACTATATCCTATCAAGAACGTTTTACCTCTCTCTTGAATCTCTAGGAAAACTTAATCTAAGAAATCCATTTCCAGGTAAGGAAAGTTGATCCTAAACCCTAACTCCTTTTTAGGTATTTTGGTTTCAAAATACTAAATTTTTCTATTAGAACCCTATAATCCTAATGTTTTCTTAAAATCTCAAGTGTAAGAATAGAGATTTTTAGACATGAAAATCTATGATTATTTTCAGAACTAGCTAAATATAATTTTATAATAAAAGCTATAAACAGGATCAATTTTGAGAAATATTATGATTTTAGTATTGAATATTATTCAGGTGTAGTTAAGATTGCTATTTAATATTCTAAATAATAGACATACTATGAATATTGGATAATGTTAAACTTTAGGATAGGCGATTTTATTAATACCGAGAAAATATGTATATTAAATTGTATGCCTAGGTTGAGTCTAAAGGTGTTTAACCTTTAGCACATTATATTAATATATGTGGTGTGAAATTGTTTGATAATTTCTCTATATTAGATTGATATGATACAATAAAAATGAATGTTTGTCTGATAAGTGATATATGTTGAAATGGGTAGATTTGGGTTATTGATGAAAAATGTCTGACTGTTCTTGAATGAAGAAAGAGTATTATGTACAAAAGTGAATAATGTGACATGATTGTAGAATTATGAGGCGTGTAATTATAATATGTGAGTCATAATAGATTGATGAGTGTGATTATGATACAAGTATTATAATATATTAAATAGTGTACTTATAATACATGTATGCAGCTAAGTTCCAACAGTTAATGAAATACTGGCCTCACTATCAGCATGGTGATGGAGAAGAGGATCTGTGTGCTCAGTTTGAGCATGGATTGAGGTCAGACATTCAGACTGCAGTCAGTGTGTTTCAACTGACGAACTTGCCCACTCTGGTAAGCAAGAGCAGAATCTTTGAAGCTAACTCAAGAGGGAAGACAGTGGACACTAGGGGAGCTGGTCCAGTGAGACATGATAGAAGACCCTCGAGGTTCTCAAAGGGGCCGTATTCAGGCTCGAATAGTTCTCAATCCCGAGGAAGTTCTTCTCAAGAGAGGAGTAGTGGGAGTGGCTCTAGAACGAGTTCTTTTAGAGGACTGCTTAAGTGCTTCAGGTGTGGAGGGCCACACATAGTGAAAGATTGCCCACAGCTGAGGATAACTTGTAGCAACTGTGGGAAGTCGGGGCACATTGCCAATGAGTGTTGGGCCGCCAAGAAGGGAGGCAGTACAAGTACAGCTCAGAGGCTGGAATAGAGAGGAAGTACAGGACCGAGTACGGGGCAGAAGCCGAGCATTTCAGGTAGAGTCTTTGCTATGAGTGGGGCAGAGGCTTCACAATCTGGGGAGCTGATCTGAGGTAAATGTATAATTAAAGGCAGACTACTTGATGTGTTGTTTAACTCGGGTGCTACGCACTCCTTTGTATCTGTGGACTGTGCGAAGAATCTGAATTTGTATGTAACTGAATTGTCATGTAATGTTGTGGTGACTACCCCTACGGGTAAGCCGGTTATGACGTCATAGGTGTGTTTGGGGTGCGCAATGATGGTACATGGTAGGGAGTCTGAGGTGGAGTTGATTTGCTTACCTCTTTCTCAACTGGATGTAATTCTGGGAATGGATTGGCTTGTTGCAAACCATGTGCTGCTGGACTGTAGGGAGAAGACTATAATCTTCGGTGCGACAATGGCAGAGGTTCCAAAGCTTATGAGCCAAGAAGCGTGGGAGGACACGGTAAACGCCAAGGCTTTCATGGTTACGTTCTCAATGGAAACTGAAAGCGTGGTGGAGCCGGAGTATATTCCAGTGGTAAAGGATTTCTTGGAGGTGTTTCTTGAATATGTTTCCGAGCTGCCACCTGAGAGGGAGATAGAGTTTGCTATCGACCTCATTCTGGGAGCAAGCCCAATTTCTGTGGCGCCTTATAGGATGTCACCGGTGGAATTGGCAGAGGTCAAGAAACAAGTAGAGGATCTATTGCAAAAACAGTTTGTAAGACCGAGTGTGTCACCGTGGGGAGCACCAGTGCTCTTGGTTAACAAGAAGAATGGAAGCATGAGGATGTGTGTGAATTATTGGCAGTTGAATAAGGTAACAGTCAAGAATAAGTATCCGCTTCCAAGGATCGACGATTTAATGGATCAGCTGAGGGGAGCAGCAGTGTTTTCGAAGATTGTTTGAGATCGGGATACCATCAAATCCGAGTGAAGGATGCAGATGTGCCTAAGATGGCGTTCAGGATATGGTATGGTCACTATGAGTATTTGGTGATGCCGTTTGGGGTGACCAATGCGCCTGGGGGTGTTCATGGACTACATGAACAGGATCTTCCATGAGTTTTTGGATAAGTTTGTGGTGGTGTTCATTGACAACATCCTAATTTATGCAAATTCTGAGGGAGAGACAGCTGCATGCGAAATTCTCAAAATGTGAGTTCTGGTTGTCAGAGATCCAATTTTTGGGACATGTATTATCGAAGGATTGATCATGGTAGACCCTGCAAAAGTGGAAGCAGTGGCTGAGGCCGACGAATGTTACAGAGGTGCGCAGTTTCCTCAAATTGGTGGACTATTATAGGAAATTCATTGAGGGATTTTCTAAGATAGCATTGCCCTTAATGAAGTTAACCCGCAAGGGAAAGGAGTTCAAGTGGACTAAGGGGTGTGAAACTAATTTCTTGGAGCTGAAGATAAGGCTGACTTCGGCGCCGGTGTTAGCGCTGCCCAACCCGGAGCGGAAATTTGATGTGTATTGTGATGCATCCGGGCAAGGACTTGGTTGTGTTTTGATGCAAGACGGGCAAGTGGTCACCTATATCTCAAGACAGTTACGCCCACATAAAGTCAACTACCCGACACACGATCTGGAATTGGCCGCGGTGGTTTTCGCTCTTAAGGTATGCAGACATTACCTATATGGGGTGAGGTTCGAGGTGTTCAGTGATCATAAGAGTTTGAAATATCTATTTGATCAAAAAGAGCTGAATATGCGGCAGAGAAGATGGATGGAATTCCTCAAGGACTACAACTTCACATTGTCTTACCGTCCTGTTAAGGCAAATGTGGTAGCCGATGCTTTGAGCCGAAAATCATTGCATGTGGCAGCGATGATGGTGAAAGAGATGGAGTTGATTGAGGAATTTTGGGACATGAATTTGGCCATTAAGGTGAGGCCGGAGAGTTTATATCTCGGAGTGACGACGATTCACAACGACTTTCTGGTGTACGTCCGAGATGCTCAGCAGGGAGATGCCTTCTTGCAAGACATGATGAAACAGAAGGATAAGGGAAAGGACTTGGATTTCCACCATGATGAGAACGGGGTGGTTAAGTTCCGGAACCGAGTGTGCATTCCTCAAGTGGATGACCTGAGATAGATGGTGCTTGAGGAAGCGCATAAGAGCAGGATGAGTTTTCATCCCGGTGCAACTAAAATGTATCAGAATCTTCGGAAGAGTTTTAGGTGGAATGGAATGAAGAGGGACGTGGTTGAATATGTGGCTAGATGCCTAACTTGCCAGAAGGCAAAGGTAGAACACCAGCGTCCACTTGGATTGTTACAGCCGCTGGAGATCCCTGAGTGGAAATGGGATAATATTTCCATAGACTTTATTTCTGGGCTGCCTAAGACCAAGAACAACCATGACGCCATCTGGGTGATAGTGGATCAGTTAACTAAGGATGCACACTTTCTTCCAATCAACATGAAGTATAAGTTGGAAAGACTTGCGGAGTTATATGTGCGGGAGATAGTTAGGCTGCATGGAGTGCCGACTAGTGTGGTGTCAGATAGAGATCCGAGGTTTACCTTGAAGTTTTGGGAGAACCTGCAACGGGCATTGGGGACTAAGTTGAGACTAAGCTCGGCTTATCACCCACAGACTGACGGTCAAACTGAGCAGATCATCCAATCATTGGAGGACTTGCTAAGAGCTTGTGTGCTCAAGCAGCAGGAAATTTGGGAATAGTGCTTGCCGCTAGTGGAATTCACGTACAACAATAGTTATCACGCCAGTATTTGAATGGCACCATTTGAGGCCTTGTATGGGCGGAGGTGCAGAACTCTGTTGTGTTGGTATGAAACTGGAGAGGCGACTCTGTGTGCACCAGACATGATCCAAAGGCAGAATGAGCATATCAAAATAATCAGAGATAAAATGAAGATTGCGCTAGACAGGGAAAAGAGTTATTATGATAGAAGGCGTAAACCGTTGGAGTTTCAGGTGGGTGACCACGTATTCCTGAAGGTCTCACCTGTAACCGGAGTAGGGAGAGCTCTGAAGTCTCGAAAACTATCTCCTAACTTCATTGGACCGTTCGAAGTGCTGAGTAGAATTGGTCTTGCTGCATACTGGATTATGTTGCCTCCGAACCTCTCGAATCTACATCTGGTGTTCCATGTGTCACAGCTTAGGCGATATGTGTCAGATCCTTCCCATGTGATTGATCTTGACCCGGTTCAAGCAAAAGAAGACTTGTCGTATGATGTGTACCCGATGAGGATTGCGGATCACCGTGTTAAGCAGTTGAGGGGCAAGGACATCTCATTGGTGAAGGTAATATGGAGTACAAGTGATGAAGGAGATGCCACATGGGAAACAGAAACTAGAATGAGAGAATTACATTCAGGTTTATTCTTGTAACTAGTACGTGTTAGATTAGATTTCAGGGACGAAATTCCTTAAAGGTGGGGAGAGTTGTCACACCCCGAATTTTGGTAATATTATTTATTATTATTACATATGTATATATATTCATATGTGTATTAATTTATTTGATAATGATGTTTATGTGTATTAAGTACATGGATGTGTGTATTTATGTGTATGCATGACTGGATAGGGCTGAGATGGGCTAAGTACCTAAGTGCAGGGCGTGATACTGGGTTGTTCTCGCTATATAGAGAGGATTCTCGCTGTAGCGAGAGGGCTCTAGGAGGAAGGACCAGAACTGTCGCCTTCTCGCTATAGCGAGAGACGTCTCGGTGTAGCGACATAGCGACAGTTTGGGGTGCATTTCTAGGTACAGTCTCGCTGTAACGATAGGATCTCGCTGTAGCGAGATTCTGCAGAAACCAGGATGTAGTTTCGTCTAATATTTTCGCTGCAGCGTGAGGGCGTGTCGCTGCAGCGAAAATATCTCACTATAGCGAAAGTGTCGCGACCAGGAAAGGATTTAAAGAGAGTTAGGGTTCGGGGAGGGTTATTTCTCCCTTTCCCTTCGAATCCCCTTCGATCCTTTCATTCTCAAACCCTTTTCTACCGATTATATTGCCTCCAAAGCCATTCAGAATCCTGATTGAAGGTTGAATCAGTGTGAGGAACGCTTGGAGGTGAGTTTTAATGGTTAGGGTTCCGTTTCTCATCCATTTTTCTCTATTTCTCAGTTTCTTGGAGTTCTCATGGAATTCTTCCATGTGTTTAGGCCGCAATCTGTGTAGGGAGCACGTTTGTGGTCAAATCCGAGTATGAGTCTTCAATCTGAGGTAAGGGGGACTCTACCCTATCTCAATGTATTGTAATTCTTGTGTGTTTTGATGATTAATGCAATGTGGCTGAGATAGAAGATAGAAATTGTGTGTTTGATGGAAATTGATATGCAATGTGATGTGTGATAGAATAATTGGACCCCGTAAGGGTGATTGTGTGTGATGGAATGTCATTGATTGGTGAATTAATGATATTGTGAATAAATGTGGGCTATGTGTCGTGTAATGTGAAATGAATGTGGGCCTAGTGTCGTGTATTTGAGTGTCATGTGGGCTATGTGCCGTGTGTAAGCATGACTATAGCATGCGTGAATGAAATATGTGTGAATGAGCACATTAGTGCCATTGTAATGTGCTGTGAATGGTTCAGCGATACATTGGGGATGTGGGAGATGAGGACGGTAGAAATACCTTGGGGAAGAGGGAGTGGTGGTGACACCAACTGCGGAACAGGTGCACCACGGGCCACACACTCTCTTCCTGACTAGACCTCTGACTACTATCTTTGCTGAGCGACCCGTGACTACCCACGTAGTATCCGTGAGGCGGGGATAACTGGCGACTATTCATGATGTAAATCTGTGATCACAGTGCTGCAATAAATATAGCTGACGTGCATATGCATAGGTTTATGAATTATACTTATGGATGTGGAATGCTACTTGTGAATGTAATTATTTAATGTATTGGAAAAGTACTGGAGGTGAGACTCTATGTTGACTGTGTGTTTTTGGGTAGTGTAGAGTACTCACCCTTACATTCATTTTTCAGGTAATCAAGACGATCAGCACCGGACTCAGTGAAGGGACGGATGGACTGCTATAGGACTTAGATTTTATTTTGAAATTGTTGTAATCGAACTAGTCTTGTAGCAATTATTTGATATTAATTTGTAACCTTTCACTTATTTCAAAATCTTTTATGAAAATTTGGTTATCCGATTTGCAAAATTATTATTTAATTGAAATTAAATTTAAGGTGTTACACACTCGACATAGAAAATCTTCAAACAGTTCATACATCACACAGATCAATATAATGTGTCGGAGGTTAGACACCTCCAGACTCAGCCCAATTGCACAACTTAACTTGCACATTTTCTCGACAATAATAAAGTCACCTATCCTAAGGTCAAGCATAATCCCTTATTCCAAAAACATTAAATAACATGTTCCAACTACTCCTAACAATATTTACTTAGTAGAATCATAATGTTCCTCAAAGACCGTTTTATTTAGAGCCTTTATTACAAGTTACCTTTAGATAGTTATCAAAATAGTTAAGGGTTTCCCATTTTAAGCTACCCAAGGGAGATTAGGGTTTGGGATTAACTCCCCTTACCTTGGAATGATGACCCTTCTAGAAATCCATGATAAAATAGCTCCCCACATGGATTTTCGTCCCTAAAACATGGAAATCCCCATGAGAAACTGAGAGTACAAGAAAGAAGGATGAGAAACTGAAAACCCTAACTCATAAACTTACCTTTAAGCATTCCAAACTCGGTTTCAACCTTCAATCTAGCTTCCAAACGACTTTGGAGGCAATTTAATCAGTAAGAATGGGTTAGGAGTAAAGAGAATCGAAAGAATTTCAAAAGGAAGGATGGAAAATGAATTTTCTTAATCTTAAACCCTTCAAATACTCATCTAACCGCGACACGCTCGCTACAGCGAGACTGTACCCAGAAATGCATCCTAAACTGTCGCTCTTCCGCCACAGCGAGAAGGCAATTGTCTCGCGCCTTCCTTCCAGGGTCGTCTCGCTATAGCAAGAGCACCCCTGCACTACACACTTAGCCAATTTTCCAAATCAACCAAACCAGCCACATAATTTAGCACACATACATTCACATAAATATATATAATATCTTTACAAACTTTAGAGTGTTACAATGAACAAATTACTTTCCTATCTCTTGAAAAATCAAGAAATAACACATTATATCTCGCTGATCAGCTAAAGCCAAATATTTTTTAACAATAATTAAGTTAATTTTTCTACTTTAGATTAAATAAATGTAATTATAAAATACTAAAGCTTGTATTGAAATTTTATTTATATGGTAATTTTGTGTTTTTGCTTTACAAATTTATTAAGTTTTATTGTCATACTCACATAAGACTGTTGTCTTGTATCCTTATCTCATGTTGGTTAAAAAATGTCAACAACATTTTTTATTAATAATCTAAATTTGTTAAAATTAACAAAATTATACATAAAACCTATTAAATAAAAAGTGAGACTCGCATAATTTCGTAAGTCTAATCAATTTTAAGCAATTATAGAAAAGTGAGCTAAAATTAATGCAACAAAGAGTATTTTTTTCATTTATAGTCCGTGATGGTATTTTATTTCTTTAGAAATTTGTTAGAATAAGAAATTATTTATTTGTGTGGGAATGTAATTAAATAATGAGAACCTTGGTCCTATTAGTAAAACAATAAACTTATATAAAGGTCGATACAATGAATGTGAGTAAGTTTATCAAGAGACTAATTATGACAAAGAATATACAACTAATTACTAATTTTATTTATTAGTCTCCCAAAATTTTCAACTAACAATAATTAAAACTTTACTTTAGGATTAGGACAAAGGGATAAAAGAGAGACCCAAATTTAAAAATAAAACAAAACAAAAGCTAGAGTTAGAGGGGGAAGAAGAAGAGAACTAGGAAGAGGATGAAAAATCTAAAAAGGAGTGATAAGTATACTTAACTATTCATAGAAAATGGCAATGCAACGATAAAACTCCAAATTCTTTTATTTGTCTCTCTCCTTTCAATTTCAAGCAAATTGTGATGTTTGAATTTGCCAATAATGTGTAATGTAATTTAATGGGAGGAATCAACTTTTATATCTTATTTGGAAAAAATTCATACCCCTTAACCTGATAAAAAAAAACCAACAAAAAGAACTTTTTATCAGAATTTGATGGAGAAGAAGAAAAAAAAAAGGAGAGGAAAGATAAGACACACATTAAAAAAATTCACTAAAATGTACTGTACTTTTATTTGCATTCAAAAGAAAAGAAAAAACAATAGTAATTTTTTAACAGTGTTATATTATTTATAAAAAATAATATTTAAAATATTTTATAAGTTAAGGGAAAAAAAAAATTTAAAAAGTAAACCAAAACAAAATTTAGAGTTATAAAACAATCTACTATTTTAGCTTAAATATGACAAATCGTTATCCTCTTTGCTTATTGTAATGAGAAAATAAGTAAAAGTGATAATAAATTATTTTTGAGTGCATCAAGCTTACAAATGTTAAACATTGTTTATTGTTAAATATTGCTTCAATAAATTGACCACACAATCTTGAACATGCTCATTGTGAAATATTGCCTCAATAAATTGATCACACAATTTTGAACATGTTTATTGTTAAATATTGCTTCAATAAATGTTGATTGTTGAATGTTTCAACTACTCAGAACAGGAAAAGTGATATGCATAACAACGTAACATACAATTTTAAGTGGAGACTAATAGAAGAAATTAACTAATGATTCAATTTTATAACCTGTATCCATTAGAGAAAACAAAAATGAAGTAATTTATTTTGCTGCACGCTTGTGAAATCATAAATGGGTTGCATAGCTCCAATTTGTAAGTATAAATCGTCCTACATGAAAAATTGCTGCCAGAAGAGAAGACCAAAACATAAGTGATTAGTAGCTCAAATGATGAGAACAATGTCTGAACCAAACAATTCTGGATATTTCGACTCTATTAACATTTTTCCTAAGTTACAGCTTAAACCTGCTGATAGATCTAACACATTCATATTTCTAAGTTATTAAAGGATAAGTATATTATAACTAGAAATCCTGTTCAAGAAAACAGCAAGATATAAAGAATCTGGCATTATGGCAATCATGCTAGGCAGTCCTATAAGTGTTATTTCCCCTCAAGTTGAAGAAATAAAAAATACAGAGAATTCTCGGTACACATGGGCAGAGTCTTCCTACGTCCTAGCATTGTTCATTCTGAATACTGTATACAAGAAACTAGAGTTTAGAAATTCAGAATGATAATATATCAATATTGTGTCATAAGGAAGAGGATGAAAGCTTCTACTTCCACGGACTAGGCTGCCGAGCATCTCTGAAAACAGAAGTGCCACCAGATGCTGCTGGGGAAGGGGATGATGCAATGTAACTAGTTCCCGACACAGACACTGAAGGTAAGTTCATGGGATTTCCCTGATGTCCTGAGAGAGCAAAGCGTGATGGACTAACAGTGGCCCCCAAATTTGCTCGAGAAGGGTGTGAAACCTTCATAGACAATGCATCAATTAACCATACAAAATTATATATCATATATATGATCAGAAACAAGGCAACTCAAAGTAGGGTTCTATTTATGGATTCCTCCTCTTTCCAGCATTACCTTCACTCATATTCAGTTGAACAAAGCATCATCTACTCAAATATAATCTATAATTGTTGCAGTGAGATGTGTAGATATGTATCAAGGAGAAGTTATAGTTAGTATCGAGCAAAAGATGCAGAAAGAGAGGATTAAACAGCTAACGTTAAGCTGAGGGGAACATATGCAGCCTAGACAATTTACACAAAACAGCAAGCATATATATGTTCATACTCCAAACAAATACAAGCTAGTTTGTAGCATTATAACCAAAAGTATCAGACAACACAGTACGTGAAACACGGCCAAAAAAATTCAATTCAGCCTCTGTAAATTCCAATTTATAAAATTCAACATATTTTTTATACTGCATTCAACAGTGTCCAGAACTGAGTCTACAACTAGGGGGGCTAAAAAGTGTGTCCAGTGACATTCAATGTTCAGTGTGTATTTGGGTTTAATTAGGCTATGTTCTGCTGTAAAAGGATGAAATGAATTGGGATGGAATGATATCAGGTTCTATGGTTTGGATTGTCGAAAATAGAATGGAATGAAATGGAACTTGACGGAATGCATTCCAATCCATTCCATCCAAAACCCCTTTTTCTCACCCTCCAATTTAGGGGTGCAGATGATCCTTCAACCCTGGCCCCCAATTTTATCATAAAACAACCAAAAAATGGAATTCTTTATTCCACTCATCATTAGTTATCTAAACACAAATAACTCAACCAGCCTGCCATAGTCAACCATCCTACAAGAAGCCTATAATTCACGTATATACTCACATTCATACCAAAAACACGAGTTATAGAACCAACTCTCATTAAAAATGAATCAAGAGGCAGTTAAACAAACTGAAACAAATTATAACAAGCAATATACATTACCACGTTCTGTTGAACACTAGGGGTCCTCCTAAGAGGGGACTCTGAAGAAGGCGACATGCTACTTGGGCGAAGCACATGGCGAGAATGCATAGTATGGTTAGCAAAATCATCCCCTTCACCGCCATCCACATCACCCCGGAGATTTCCCTCAGAACCCAAGCTCTGGGCCATATGCCTGGTCATAGAACCAGTATCATTCATTCCCTCCCCTTGAAGGGGAATGGAAGGGGCACGCATAGCAACCCCTTGCATATTGGCCATACTTCGTCTCTTTAACTCCTCTTCTGCATTCAATATCTGCCAATTAACAAAGCCAACCAATATTCATTAAATGCAAGGAACACACAAACACATGACACAACATCCAAACACAAAAATCATCATTTACCTCCTTCAACACTAACACCAAATTATGCTTCTTCACATTCAAAACCTCCAACTTATCCTCAACTTCCTTTTTCCTTTTCTCCTTTTCGTTAAACAGATCCACATTGTCAGCGACCTAGCACAAAAACATGTGGCAATCATAAAAATCACCTAAACTGAGCAGCTTAAAAACAACATTTTTTCTAATGTCTAATAAGAATTCAATAATAGCAAAATTTATTCAAAATTATTACATTTAACGACATTAAAGTTCTCACTGTATACCGTTAGACACTCCTTAGAAACACCGTAATAATAATAATAATAGCCGAAAACTGGTTACCGGCTCAGTCTGTTTTTCCTTGGAAGTGGCAACGGCGTCAGATGTTTTTCTCTCCAAGGCATCGTGCTTGGAATGGGATCCATCAACGGGTTTCTTGGCGGAAGAAACAGCGACGAGTTGGGCTTCTATGCGATGGTCATCTTCTGGTTGGTGGGCGGTGGCGGATGGGCCTTCGCCGTGATTGGGGGAAACTTTGGGTGGTTGGGCTTGGGAACCGTTGGAGAGAGGGTTAGGGTTAGGGTTAGGGATGGAGCAGGTGGTAGCGTTAAGGCGAGAGAGTGCCTTGGAGCGACGATGTAGAAGGGACTTGAAATCTTTCAGAGAGATTTTGGGGTTTGGCATAAGCCATTGCCGAGGAACGTCCGCTACTCTGTGAAGATTTCCTCTGTAAAGCGAAATTGCTACCATACTCACCTCTTTCACTTTTCTCGCCTCTTCTTCCCCAACCCACATTCAATTATATAGGTTTCCAAAATTATTACAAGCTATTTTAAATGGTTTAGATGTTATTTTTCTTCATGCAATAACATTCATCTTTATGTAAAATATTAACTTAATTTTTACATGTGTAAGTATTTTCAAATTTATTTCGGATTTTTGTTAACATTATAACACAGTAAAATAGAAAATAAAATTATATTTATGGTATGATATTACTACAAAGTAGATTAATTAAATTGAAAAGAATTCTTATTTCATCTTCCAGATTTTTCTAATCTCATAAAAGGAATACATATATTTTAAAAGAAAGAAATAAAATAAAATAAATATTTAAAAAAAATATGTGTCACTTTTCTATGAATAAGATGATTTGCAAAATAAAATAGTAAAAAAAAGCAGTAATTTTCAATTGAAAATAATATTTTGATTTAAATATTTAAAAATTTAAATTAAATTTATAGTTTGTTTTAAAATTAAATTATCTCATAAAAGTTATTAAATAATATAAAAAATGAGTATAATTTCTATCTATGTAATTTGATATATATATATATATATATATAATTTAATAATATAATTATATATTTATAAGATTAGCATAATTAATAGATGATTAAGTTTTTTAATATATTTATTTTTAAATAAAAAATTTAACAATCATTTTAATATATATATATATATATAAATGATATATATATATATATATATATATATATATATATATATATCATTTACTAAAAACTTAATGTGGAACTAGCTTCTCTATGTGTAGATTGAATTATTAATATAAACATTTTCATTTCATACTAATAACATGATAAATTATATTAACAAATAATTTTATCAGTATACAATGTTTATGTTTGATGCAGTAGGGGGAGCCATGGAACTCCTAGAAGATTTTTTTAATGACTATACTTAATTTTAATATTTGGCACCTAAAAAATTAAATCACAATTAATAATATTAAGAAGATTAATTATTTTTAACATAAATCCATTATATATTTCAACTTTTATTATTTATCATGTTAAGGCAAAACACAAGCCTAATTATCAATTAAAAAAAATTATTTGTGGTATAATTGCAAAAAAAAAAAAAAAATGCTCATTTTAAGTTATAGTAAAAATTAAAAGAAGTTGAATAGTCAGTTTGCTCATGAATAGATCTCATGAATTTTTAAATAAGAAATAAAGAAACAAAAATAATATTTTCAAAGAAAATAAGAATGTGATGTTATTTATTATTTAGCTTATAATATTTTACTGCTCACGACAATTAGAATAACAATGCTAAATGTAATAAGTTTTTGGTGGCTGTGGGTTATAAAATTGTTTCTACTTTGTCTTCACTTGGTTATGCATGTATAGGTGGGGCAACTTGGGGTGTTTGTCTAATTTGAAATCTGCAAATCTTTTGGGATATTGCTTGTGTTTTTTTATTAATGAATTTGGTTAGCGTATTGGAAGAAGGAAAAAAAAAAAAAGGCTTATTCTACGTAACTAATATAAGTGAATACATGAATCTTTTATATTTGAGGTTAATTATCAATTTTATTATATACATTCTGGCTTTTTATTTGTTTTTCTTTAATCAATTTATAGTTTTTTTTAAAACTTTCTTGTTAATATTATGACTTTTTGAGATGTGTAATTGTTTTTATATTAACTTAAAAGTGATATTTTTAAAAGGTGCAGTGATTAAGCATTAAAGAATATATGCATTTTTTAAGAGGAAAGCACTAGACGAGTGAAACTAATATAGCTATAGCTTCTCTTTACCTCTTCAAGATCATAATCCTAATATCCAAGTTTATTCAACCAATGGAGCTCTCTTCCAAGATTCGTAGAATTATAGTTGATGAGTTTAATGCTAATTCCTTAGAACACAACCTAAGAAAATGCCCTCAAACATGGAACACCCAAATGAATCAAAGTGATAAAAATTGCTAGAGCTTATTGAAATGGTGTACATATCAAATACAACTTGAAGACTATATATCCTCACTTTAAAAAAAAAGAAAGAAAGAAAGAGAAAACATTCAAGTCATTGTACTTGGTTTAATAATTAGAATATTATCTTATTGGTGATGCAGCTTATTGTATGCTACGCTGTCCCTTCAATCAAAAACCAAGCGGTAATCCTGGGCCACACGTATTTGGTAGACAAGGATTTAAAACATATTGAAATAATTTTGGCTCAACTCATAACAATGTAATGAAAGCTTATGAAGATTTGTTGACGAGTTCAACCATTTAGAGGAACACAAAGAGGTAAGAGTTAAAAGTTATATTTTAATTTATACTTGCTTCTATATCAATGACAGTAACTTCGAATTTTATTCATTTCATTTTTTACTCACTTTTATATAAATGACTATTAAATTCTACCTTATTTAGGGGACATGTAATGCCCTTTTAAAATGTAATAAATTTATATTTATATTTAAAGGTTTAAAAAATTATTTGCATATCAATCTTTAAAAACAATTCTTTAGTTAATAAGCTGCATTTTAATTATGAACATATAAATATGATAAAGATTACTTGACCATAGAAACATGTTTTTAATTCTTACTTTGCACCTTATATCTAGCTTAAGGTTTTAAATATGACTCCATAAATTAAAAACCTAATGACAGAAGCATTGGATACTTTCCATGACTTTTGGATGTCAAAGTGAAAGGCCTTACCTTTTGATTTTTTGGTGATTCTTTTCTACTTTTTTGGGTTAAATATGAAGATAGGTGTTCTTCTTTAGCCATCAATAATCTAAGCATTTCCTTAATTTGGAGAGTAAGATGAAAAATTTCCCTGTCAGACCTAGTTTTGTCCTTGGTTTGACTCTTAGAATGTCAGTTCATTCTTACTGCTTGATCAATTGCTTCCATGACTTTTACTCCTAGATTTTTTAATCTTATGGCTTTTTGATAATTAAAGATTCTGCTTTTTTTAATTTTTTTCATGGGTTTATCTCTTTTGGTGTGATTTTATTGCAGTAGTGGCATATTCTCAAAACATAGTAGTAGTCATATGTTGTGCAACTGTTTGTTATTAATGAGCTTTTTGAAGCAAGTGTAGCATCTTGTCTGTTCAGTTTTACGTTAACTTTTTAGTGTTTTAGGCAATAAAAGGATCCTAAATTAGAAGTGCAGTGGTGCGAAAGTGAAGAAAACAAGCAAAAAATATATATTTCAATGATTTTGTTAGGGAAAAAAAATGCAAAGTGATAAATTATCCGTTAAAACTCTAATTTTACGTTTAGAGTCAAAAAAAATTTATTTATTTTTATCTTTTCCACCATCTTTAGCATACGTTACATTTACCACTCGTTAGTAAGACATCATCCTATCACCAACCTCAAACTCTTCGGTCTTCAATGCAGGAAATTTTTTTTAAAAGACCTCTTTGCAATAAAAGCAATATTAAAGGACTTTTTTTTATAATAAAAATAAATATTAAATTAATTAAAACTACCTTATTGGTTCATTTACATGAGCATTAGATACCCTCTCAAATGTTCAAACACTAGAATAAGCACCTAAATAATTATATGACTTATAATTTTGAGCACCTCACTTAATTATTTTTCCTCCTCTAAAATATTGATCAAATTCTGCAATTGTTAGCGTAGAATATTAATATATATTATCAATAATACAAATGTTAGATAGTACAATATTATTTGTTAATGTAGGCCTTCAGTATTTTTACTAATAATTTAATGTTCATTAAACAAAGCCTATATTAATAAGGTTATTCTGACACTTAACAGAATTTTTAATGTAAGTAAATGATGATTTTTTTTTAATGAATTAACTAATAAAGATATCTTTGCTACATATTAAAAATAAAATACAACACATCGAAGTCTTATTTTGAGATCCTCACTTGGGTTATGTATTCATCCCTGTATTACAAAGATTATATTTTCAAAAAATAAAGTTAATTTCAAGTGGTGGACTTCATTAGTTATTAATAATTGTAGAATTTTGTTAGTGTTCCCATTTGTTATTCTAGACGGTGATTGGATTGATACCATTGAATATTGTTCAGCAATTCACTAATTTAAGCGTTACATTTTCATCGGAGAACATCATCAAAACATGGTTATGATAGACATTATCTTTCTCTAACTCTCATTGATACAGCAAACAAAACTTCATTGACAAATTATTATCATTCCCAGTTAGCTTCTAGTGGAAGAAGATCCTTGGTACATGATGAATGGTTTGAGTTTAAAAAGGAACAAAACAATAATATTGGTGGTCTACAATAAAGCCAATCATACTATCTGATGGCAAAACTATTATTTCAAAATTTAACTTAATAATTAGATGGTTCTTCCATGAGGTGAGGAAAACTTAAAAACATCTCATTTTCTTGATCAAGCATGGCTTCTACGAATGAAATATTAGAGGATGATGAAAAATGGACATCACTGGTAGAGGCTTGTTGTGACAGGACCTCTTTCATATTCCAACTTTGTCTCATCACATTCTCCACTTGACTCACCATTTCTTCTTCTTGGTTATCACTAGGTGGTATAAAAGCATCTTCTAGAAGAAAATCATTCCAACTAAAGGGCACAGGTAATTCTTCTTGACCTGAAGTGAAACAAGTAGAAGTAGATGGTGATGAAGTTTTTGACAAGCAACCTTCCCCTAATAAAGATGTTAGGATGGTCTCATTTTCAAAGTCTATGCCATTTGAGGCACTTGTCACTATTGGTATGGCTTGGAGATGAGGAAGCTGAGTTGGGAAGTTATCAATATCATTATGATTTCTATTAAATAAAAAGTTACTTCCAAGGATTTCTTCTTTAGGAGGTGATGTTAATAGTTGCTTTGGTTGGTCAAGGAAATTTCCAAATCCTTGTGGCAAGGCTTGATGTGGCTCTGATTTTAAGATCATTGCATTCTTGAAGTCTTTATTGACAGACCCAATTCGGGTACTTGGTTTCTGGCACTCTCCTATGTTTCCATAATCAGCAATGAGTTTAGAGAAAGGCTTGTGGGTAACAGGGTCTATCCCCATTTGAGACAGTTTTTTTTTCAGCTTTGTGTTCCAATAGTTCTTTACATCATTGTCTGTTTTCCCAGGAATTTGTTGGGCTATTATAGACCACCTGAGACAGATATTAAGATTGGCATCATTCTAATGTCCCAAACATAACTTGAAAAGATTGACAATTATAAGAATCATGAAATCCATAAAAAAAAATTAATAAAAATGGTATACTTTGCCTAGTAGAAAAGGGTAAAATCATGAGGCAGACATAGAACAAACCAGCCAAGCTATAACTCTACAGTTTTTTCTTAACAAGCGCGTCTGTCTCTAACCAAGAATTAAGTCTACAATAATAGTGTACAAAACTCAGATTACATAGAACATTATAATAGCAACCAAGAGATACCTATAGGAGATTATGACAGGACTTGGAATGTTACTCCATAGTCACAGAAAATTAATGAAAAGTATATGATCTATTTATTTGCTTATGCAACAAGATAACATAATGTAATCACAAAATAATCCAACTTATCAAAAATTCATTAGAATGAGCACACCAGGATAGTCTCAAAAAAGGTATACATTATGTAATTACAAAATTATCCAAAAGTAGAGGAAGCAAGAGTTAGTGGAACGATTAGCCCACATTATTCACCTGCTACCTATGGCTGCGTGAAGCTTAATGATTAGATCTTCTTCTTGGGTTGTGAAATTGTCATGCTTAAGGTCAAGCTTGAGGTTATTACTCCACCTAATCCTGCAACTCTTTCCACACCTCTTGAGCCCTATGTTAATGGTCTCAAATGCAAAACTTATAGTTAAGAAGATGAAAAGTAAGATACAGAAATTACTATTAGCTCAAAGTTCTAAAAAATCTCTTACCTGCTTTTATGGGGACAGAAGTCCAATTACTAGATCCATGCTTGGAGACAAATGAAAGCATTTTTGGATCTTCTTCTGGAGTCCATACACCCCTTTTGGCATTGAATTTTTCATAGCATGGAGATCTCACCATCTTATCTCTTGATCCAAGATCACATGCTAATCAAGGGCTTTAGAAAAGCAAATGAAAGGAAAAGAAAATGGCTAGTGTGAGCCAAGGACAGCGAGGGGTGTCTTATGTAGCTTCAAATAACTCTTCTACAAGCACTCTTTGTGAGGAAAGAGAGAATGGAGGAGATGGGTTTAAAGGTAACACATATGGAGGCAAGGAAAGCATGAAGACTTGATTATGAATTAAACTTATTTTGCATGATGATTGTCATCATTCGCAACAAACAACTTCAGAAGACAGATATCAAATAAAGAACACCAATCTCTGAACCCCCCACACGTTTGTCCCATAAGCATTTTGAGATCAGGTTCAAATCTGGTGAATTATTTGGTTAAACTTAGATTGAATTTAAGTGGATTAAAGTATAATTGAAATAGATTGATTGGTTCATCATCTAAAAGTAAATGACTAATTCTGGTTTTTGTTATGTCCTCACAAGTTTGATGAGAGCATTTAATTAAACTAAACATTCAACTAATTTGTATTGATAATTATATAGACCTTTCCAAGAGTATTCTTTTAAATTTTAAACCGCCAACTCTGCATGATATGTTATAATACAAAAAACCTTTAAATGATTGCAATCATGAGCATTTTATAGTACAAATTATTAAGAATAAATTATTGTTTTAAGTTCATGGTACTAGTTCAAATAATTTCCAAATTCAAGGTTAATTGAAATATTTATAAGGAGTTTATTTTTCCCATTCAATTTAGACTTGTAAATAAATAAAACGTATGTTAATTGGGCTTGTAACTTAATTTGAATTAGTTAGAGTCTACTATTATTCAAATAACCTTAATCAAATTGGACTTAATTCCTTTAAAGGAAATGGTTTAGTTTAGAGAATAAAATAAAAAATTATAATTAAAAAATTAGAAAAGATTAAACTACATTTGTACAAATTACATTAACTTTTAAATTCACAATAATTTATTTTAGAGAATATTTTTTTATCAATTTAACTACTGAATTATAAATATATTACTTTGATTTTGCGTAAAATTTTGACAAAATTAAATAATTATAAAAATATAATTAAAGGATCCTTGTTTTATATACTTCAAAAGCTTATAACATGCGTAAAGAAAATATTAAATAATTTTAAGTTGATCTTAATTTTTGCAAACCCAATTTATATACATATTTAATCCAATAACTACTTAATTTTAGAATAAAATTATTTAATAAAAAATTATTATCCAATGTAAAAATAGTAAGTTATACATATATAATTGAATATCTCCTCTTAAAAAACTAATGGTTAAAATTTAAATAATGACATAATTTGTTGTTACATATATTTAATCACAATCTACCTAGTGTATTTCAAATAATAACTATAATTTTTCATTTTGTATCCCAAAATAAATATTTAATTTATAAGAATCAAATCCACCATAAGATTAGATTGGTCGGAATGTGTCGCATGCAAATATGCATCAAATATTTGTTTAAGTCAACGTTCACCGTTAGTTGAGTTTTAGATGGAAATTTCTTTTAGAGATGATAAATTCGGTCAGGTTGAACTTTTCAGTCAACCTAAAATGGTAGACTACGAAAAATATTTATATCGGGACACTCGCTTAGACTTAGCCCACCACACTTCTGTCTATCAAAACGCCAATTAATAGTAGACCCGTTGGACTTATTTCTTATTGAAAAATAAATTTATTTATTTATTAATTAATTATTAATTGTTATTATTAATATAAAAATAATATTTAAATATTTTTATAAAATTTTATTAATTATTTTTAATTTTTTAATAAAAATTAACTAATATTTATTATTTTTTTATGAATTGAGCTAAAAATATTTAACATACTTTAACAACACCAATTTACAATATAATATAGGTATTTTGATACATCGACAGGTGTATTTACAATATATGTATCGTAATACATTAGATTATATGGTTATAGCACATGTATTATAACACACTGATCTGTAAATGGTATATGGATTAATGAGAAAGAAATTAGTGTGAATAATTACAGCGATATACTGAGAATATGAAATATGGAGCCGATTATGAAAGTCTAGGGAAAATGTAGGGTGATAGATGACATTTGCTTGAGTGTACACATTTATGAAATGTGAATGCATAATTTGGCCACACACTTATTTTCTGACTAGCACTCATAACTATACTTTTACTAAGGGACTCTATAAGTGTGTACATTGTATCTATATGCATGGGTTAACGGCAGCTATTCACATATTGTGTAAGACCTCATGAAATGCTGGAGGCAACTATGAAATGTGATCACATAGTATGAAAATTTATGGAACTGATAATGAAGTGAATTGAATATGTTATTAATGTATATGAAAGTGATGATGTGATTGATTTATAATTAATGCTATGGTGGTTTATTTGAGTTCTATATAGATATTATTATAGAGATTGATGTACTCATCCTTGCATACAAAGATATAAATAGATTTACATATGTATTAAAAATATATTTGTTGTTTATGTTTTAATGATGAGGAAGGAACTCATCCTTACAAAATATTTCAGGGAACAGAAATGATGATTAGGATCAAATTCTTAGCGTTTGGGCATAGATCAGAACTGTTCTAAGAAGAAATTTTTTTGCTTATTTGGGTCATATAATGATGTATTCTAAATCAAATATGTATTTGGGTTAATAGTTTGTAAAAAGTATACTTTTAAATATAACTTAAACTTAATATTTAGACACTTAATATTATTTAAATTTAGTTGTTATCATAAAAAGGGCAGTTAAATTTTGATTATTTTATTATTTAAATTCATTGTGAATATATTCGAGCAAGAAAATTTAATTTCAAAATATTTATACTACTTGTTTTAATGAAGAATTGATCTATTCTGTTAGTTTACAACAAAATATTATTTATTTTCAGAATTTAAAAAGTAGAGTGTTACATAAGGCACAAATAGTAAAAGTAGATGATATTGATCATGGGTTTTTGAATATGCTTTTAGAAGATATTGGTTCTATTGAGGCAAGTGGGTCTTTATAGGCGACCAACAAAAGGTAAAGGTGTTTGCTTTTAACTACCTCTAATTTAACTCATTTTCAAATTCTACCTTAGAATTTTGTGCTGACTTAATTGAAATTTTTGACATAGCTTGATGCAAGTTTTTGAAGAATTTTTTGTACCTGTTGAACATGGATTCTGTTTGAGGCACTTATATAACAATTTTAAGAAGTTTGGAGGAGGAGTTTAACTAAGAGACCTCATGATGGGTGCTACCAAAGCAACATATGAACATCTTTGGAGGACTTATATGCAGCAGAATCAGAGATTTGAATGAGACTGCATACTGGTGGCTATTTAATCTAGACAGGAAAGCATGGTGTAAGCATAAATTTTCGTGTTACCCAAAATTTGATTTATTAATTAATAATATTAGTGAAGCATTTAACAGCACAATTTTGATTGCTAGGGATAAAGCAATTATCACAATGTTTGAGTAAATAAGGATGTATTGGATAAATAGGTTTTCTAACCTTAGGGACAAAGTTAAAGGTTACAAAGGACAAATTATGCCTAAGCCTTTAAAAAGACTAGATTAGAGGTTGAAAAGTTAGAGAATTGGATACCAAGTTGGGGACGGGATGGAGACTTTGAAGTGAGGCATTTACATTATGGCGAGAAATTTATAATACACATCTATAGGAACTATTGTAGTTGTAATTTCAGGGATTTAGTGAGCATTTTGATAAATTCGCATTTTACTGTATTTTTAGCCTAGTTTTTGTTAGTAAATAAAGAGTTAAATAGTAAATAAACTTGAAAATATCATAAAAATTGCATTAATATTCATAATTGTATAAATAGTTTAGAATCTTAGATTTTTGGTCTAATTCTGAACAATTTGACTTAAAATGACTTAATCCTATTGTAGAAGCTTGAGCTGAGAATTTGAGTTGAAGATTGAAGTGAAGAAACTAGAAGAATTGAGCTTTAAAGATGAAGAATTAAGTGTTATGTGTAGAGCGTAACCACTCTGAATACATAGAGTTAACACTTTGAAAAAGAAAAACCATGAAGAACAAGAGAGTAGCTACTTCAAGTGTTCAAAGTAGCTACGCAGTTAAGCGCGTAGTCACTTCAAACGTTCAGAGTAGCTATGCCCAAGACCAATTCACTTATGCACAGTGCGCGTAGCCACTTCAAGCGTTCAGAGTAGCTACGTAGTAAGCGCGTAGCCACTCCAAGCATTGAGAGTAGCTACGCAAAGCTACGTGTAGACACTCTAAGTGTTGAGAGTGTCTACGCAAAATAACAAAATTTTGAAAACCACTTCTAATTGTCAACTTTGGACGATTTGAGTTCCTATTTCAGTTGTAGAAGCTTCTAGAAGACATTTCATGCTATAATCCTCAGAGATTAAAGCGTGAAAGTGGAAAAGGCGAGAAAACATTATAAATAGAAGTTAAGAGTTCAGAATTGGAGGTCTTTTGCTATTTTTTGTTTTCTTTTCATTTCTACACCTTAGGAGAGTTAGAGAGAAAGATTGGGGGTGACTTCCAAGCTCTAGACCTTAAGGAATTAGGTTGGGGATTGAATTTATGAAGAAATTTTGCAGCTTCTCTTTTTTTACTCTTTCTCTCTCTTTTTCTTTTAGGAACATGTTCTGATTTCTTTTTGTTAAGAATCCATGGATCCAAATTTGATATTGTGATGAAATTTTGGATCCGGACCTTGAGGTTTTAATTGAATTAAGTATGTGATTTTGTTCTTAATGCAGTTGTGAACTAATCCTTCATTCAATTGAATTTAGAGAAATCTTCGTCAATGGAAATTGAGTTTATTTCTTAGATCTGAATCATATGCCTAGGTTATTGAGATCTTAGGAATAAGTATCATAATCTAGTAATCCTATAATTTCTAGAACTTGATGCAATATTTGGTTGAATTTCACCTAAGGAATTAAGGAAGTTTAATTAGATATTAG